AGTCTGCCTTACTGTAGTTTCTATATGTTATTTGTTGTAAATTAGAGGTTAGGGTTGCAGTGCTACTTGACGGAAGTGGCAGTGCACACAGCACTGTTTTGTGGTCACTCCCTGAAAACTCAGAACCTACTAGGGTAGAAAGGGGACTTATATTGTGGCAGAAGATTAAGTCTAGTACGTTATTACCTCTTGTAGGGGTTGTGACAGTCTGCTTCCAGCCAAGTATATCCAGTGTGCCTAAGAACTTATCAAGTTTAGTTGGACCTGTGGGTATTTCCCAGTTGATTTCTGGTAAGTTAAAGTCTCCACATAGGATCTTATGATCGCAGTGGAGGGTGGATAATTGTTCCAGAGTATTAATAAGTTGGGTCTCTGCAACTTTGCGCAGATCACAACCCATTTGTAACTAGCATCAACTTCCAACACAGCTATCGCCGTAGCGCTACACAGCGTCCTCCTTCCGCAAATCAAGCCTGGATTCAGACTGATCGTATTGCTGTCAGTTTCCGGTGGCGAGGATGTATACAAGGCTGCCGCCTTCTCTGGAGCACATGCCTGGACTCTGACTATGCTCCGATGTGAACTGGGTTCGTTTCGCGATTTGGTGGGGTTCATAAATGGCGTCATCTAAATGTTGATATCAGTAAACTTGTAGCACCTGCTACTTCTTTGAAATCCCAGAATGAGTTCCAATCAATGTTTGTTAGCAAACCCCCTCCCAAGCATTACAGATGAACATTGAATTCGTCTGAAAGTCTCCACGTGAACGGCGGCTAGGAAGAATGCTCCGCTAAAAACCACTGGGTTTCTGCGAGTTCCTCGCAACTCGTGGATGAACGACGGTCCATTCCGGCTGGCAGCGAATACAACAATAATCGAAAGGCGCCTATGCTTAAGACTAGACAGTGCTTACGCAGGGACCGAGAAGCCTGGTGGTTATAACATGCGTGTGAGATGCAATTATGGGCCTATCAATATAACGCCTATTATATCAAGGATAATGGAAAAAGTAATCAAAGGCCAAATTTAAGACTGCCTTCTAAACCATAGACTCATCGACCAGTCACAACACGGATTCCTCAAGAAAAGATCATGTGCCACTTGCTGTATAGATCTTTTAAACGAAGTCACCTATAGAAGAGACAGTAGGGAACTAGTAATTATCTTCTATTTTGATAAAAGAATGACCTACAATACGGTCCTATAAAGCCTGGTAGTCGGCAAGTTATGCTCACTAGAGGTACCCTCCAAATTGGTGACATTTTTGCACGCGTTTTCTCTGAAACTCACTTATTGCTTACTGACATATATTCCTAAAAATTATTTTCCAAATTTCTAAAATATGGGTTTGTAGAAACAAAATTGGTTTAGATAGTGGCTCAACGTTGGTTATAACTGCATTATCGCCCTGTAATACAGTATCAACTACTAGCTCACAAATTGGCTCGAGTGCAGTTCAAACTCCTGTGATGCAGGTGAAAGACGTTTTTTCAGAGGACTTTGAGTTCTGTAGATCAAACAGCCTTATGAGAGATATCCAGAGGCAAGTAAGTGAACTTCAGGAAAAATTAGGTCACTTTGTTAGCATGACACTGCCAATCTCAAATATCACGGAGAGCCGTTCTGATATTGGCCAGGTTAAGTCTCTACTGGATGTAACTCAAAACAAGCCTGCAGATATAGACCCAATGGCCTGCCTGTTAGGAAACATCCTAAAATGTCTCCAGACAACCTAAATAGAGCTGAAAATCTGATTGACTGCTTGGCTGCTGAGGTGATGAAGCGTATAACCTCTTCTCACCAGGCTATAGTTTACAACGTCCCAGATTCTCTGCCTCTGAAGACTGCAAAACACAAAATCCTGATTTGTTGCGGTATGGCTAGTGTTCCATGTGAATGCAAAAGACTTTGTAAAAAGTCTAACCAGACTAATTGTCCCATCATTTTTAATTCAGTAATTCCCTTGATTCTAGTTAGTTTACTAAATGTCAGGATCACCTAAAACTGAATAGCAGTTATAAGTCTGTATCCATAGCTCAGGATAAAACACCGTGTCAGCGCAGAATAGTGCGTAGTAATAACCTGGTCACCTCCTCTAGCTTAGATTTACCAGAAAACGATCGTGCACAGCAACAGCCACCTAATGCTGACATTAGCATCCAGCAAACCACACAACAACCACGCTTGGCAATGGAACTAGGAACTGATTTAGATACCAGTACCCCTCTAAATAACGTCTCACCGAAAGATGTTAAAATAGGTAGAACTGCTGCAAGATGTTCTAAGAAATTCTTGCCCAAACGTGGTAACCCCACCAAGGTGAACAAATTTCACATAATTGAATCGAATGATGGGGAAGAATACTTTGTATTCACTAAGTTTGCTGGGAGTAAGTGTGTCAACAAACCCACACTTGACATGAAGAAATCCTTTCAAAGCACAAGTATATTTGGTGGTTTTCAGCATACTCTGCCTTATAGAAACTTAGGTCCCAAAACCCCCAAAGTCCCGCAACCGAAGCACTTCTCTCCACAATATTTTCTGGTTATAAAAAGAACATGAAGACGCGTACCGGTATGCCGAATAGCAGATTGATGGATAGACCTTACATTGCTATGCCTTTTAACCCACAATTCAGCCCCGACGATTACTACCCGTACAGTACCCATACTGAAGCGAGTGAGGGTCTCCGCCAGTGTTTCCGGAAACCCATCGGATAAAACTGACGCAGATTGGACTAGATTTGACGAATGGTGCCCGCTTGCTTTTCCTTTCGTATACCAGGAATTTGTTTCATTGTTTAACTCTCCTTTCGAATGTTCACTAATAGGTCGTATCTTCCCAGGAGGTGTATGAAGATGATTGCTAGGTCTAAATCAGAAAGAGTAATCACCTATGGATACTGTCGTTTAAGCCGAAGTCGGAGGCCCGAACGTCACTGACAGGGTCTCACTGAAAGTCTCCAGGTTGACGAGGGACTTCTTTCATCCCGCCTAAGCCTTTGATTTTAGTGTGACACTGAGTGCGACTCCTGCACCAGCTATGAAGTCCGTGCTAGGGTTTCTACCCCTGATGTAAAATAGTTGTTTATCCGACCGCTCCTCAGTAGTTGCTGCCCAAAAAAGGGTTAATCGTTTCCCCGTCGCCTATGGGTAGTTTAAGTCAGGCACATGGTTGCGTGCATTTTGTTGACTGTGCTACAAACTTCCAGAGTGGCACCCACCATAGCTTTTTTAACCTAAACGAAAGCATTTTTAGCAGACGCATCAAGTGCAATGGACTTATAGTTTCTTCGGAGGTCTATTAGTGGCTGAATCCGGGAGGCACAGTTACGGATAAAGCATCAGCAACAACTCACTGAGCTACTAAAAGTCCTGAGATTTTTCATCATATTTATCTCCAGGAACTTAAGAATCGCCTCGACTTTGCTGGCCAGTGGGTGATACCCTTGCAGTCAATGGTGTGATCGAGGAATTCTAGTCCTATTTGACACTTTTGGGTTTTTATGGTAACATAATCTCGACGTAACTTTTTGGATGTCAGGTTCAAGTGTCTAAGGTGAGTTTCCTTGTCTGAACTCTCAGTAAGGCAGTTGTCTAGGTATGAGAATACGAAGCCAAGACCGCGAAATTCTCCATCGGTTAATATTTAGAATGTTTTTGATGCAATCTGGAGGCCGGATGGAATGCGGAGAAATTAAAACAGTCCGAAAGTCGTAATGATAACCGCCTTCGGAATGTCATCTGGTGCCATCGGGATATGGTTGTATGGTTTAACCGAGGCTGTTTACGAGAAAATATTTGTACCTGCTAATGCTGCCGTCAAGTCGTGTATGTGAGACAGTGGATAGCAATCAGTGGTTGTTTGGGCGTTCACTCGCCGGTAATCACGAGTACGTTGCCAATCGTTACTACATTTTTTGGTAACACATGAAGTGGGGATGCCTACGTGCTATTCGATGGCTGGATGATGCCAAGGGTGAATATATGGTCGAATTCATTTATTGCAATTCGTAGTTTGGGGGGAGCAAGTCGTCATGCGCTGGTTGTTACGGATTGTCTTGAGATTTTGATGTGGTGCATAACATTGGTTGTTACGCGCAGCAGATCGCTAGATGGGCAATTAAGTTCCAGGTAATTGTCAACATTAGACTGAAAAGTTGAATCACCCATCGCCTGCTGCTTAACAACTGACAAGCAGTGACCTCCATATGTGATTTCTTTAATAGACAGCCTAGTGGTGACGTCTATCAGTAGTTTCCGGCGAACATCTACGATCACTATGGCTGAGTGGATCCGTGTCTATGACAATTATTGTGACGGTGACAAGGAGGAAAATCCACTGAAGAAACTGAAACCTACGTTCAGGTATACGTATTTCCTACCGAAGGCTACAATAGGTTTTCCATCCGCAGCCCATAAGTTGAAGGGAGATTTCTTCTGTTGATCTGCTTATGTAGTAGGAGAGACATTGGCTTCAGGACCCTTGCCAAAATGGCACGAGCTGAATGGTTTTGTTAGTCGATCGAATTTATATGACCTTGGGCGTATGGCAACTGATGGCAAAATATATTTATGTTAAATATAGTACGAGAACAAATACAAAATAGAACGAACTTACCGGATTCGTCTGAATGTCTACCGAAGGTGAAGTTCACGGTAGGGCTCACCGGCTTAGAGACTGAGGGTGTTGACATTCATGGGTAGTATGACGTATTCTATCGCAAGATGCAATACCCACAAACATTGAAGATCAGCGTGACTACGATGTCGATATCTGTTTTCTTTTCTTTTCCTCTCTATAAAAAGTCAGGAAATATGAAGAAACAATACAATACAGATAGGTGATATACTTAACATTGGAAATACTGCTATCTTAAGTTAGTCATTAACTCCCTAACACGAACCGTGAGAAAAAGTAACGTCATGGTTGAAAACAGTGATGGAAACACAAACACAGATACTCTTTGAAAAAATACTATTTTATTCTCGAAAAAATTAACTATAGATGCAAAATCTGAATCAGGAAAATCCAAAAATACTTTATTAGTTTAAATGAAACAAAACTTTTCAACACGTACTGTTAAGACTGTGGAACATTCAAATTTGTTTCATATATCTGTTTTTTAGTGTTAGTTAGGGAAATGTCTGACGATTCAGGATTTGATCTCTGTGAATGCATACAGTCGCATGATGGTGCTATGAGAAGATTATTAGGAATACTGAGACAGACTCAGGAGTATTGCAGCGATAGCTCTTGTGTCGACGATTTATCACCAGTGCCACAAGGGAATCAGGACCCAATGTCTGGTACTTATATGATGACATTTGTCGCCTTATTGGCCGTTTTTGCTGCAATTTTATTTGGTGTGCCACGCTTTCGTTCTTCTGATGGCAAGCCGCGCAACAATTTCCAGGTAATCATTTTTAAATGTTTACTTTTCTCAATTATGCATTTGATTTGATAAGATTTGATAATTTGTTCGTAGACTCCTGTCATATAGGTTTTATATTTTATGCTTTTTTCATAACCGTGATCCTACAGAGTTTTGTTAGCAGCCATTTCAGCAGAATGTCAAAGTTTTAATTTGCAGTTTAATTTCATTTTTCAGTGAGCACTATCTGACACTGATGAAAAATGTTATACGGTGTTATCTCTTTTGTAGTTTTACATGTCATCAGTACTTGGGATTTTGTTTAAGAGAAGATTGATCTTTTGTTGTTTGTGCTGACATTAGGTTTCTCATTCAATGAGTTCATACTCTTGTCTCTTGAATCTTATACTTTGTCAGTCAACTTATTAATTTGCATATATTTTGTCTCATTATGAATTTTAAACGGTCTAACTGATGCACTCACCTGTTGTTATTTGAAGTCTTTTATTTCAAGTGCCTTAGAGGAGTATTATTTCCAGTTATCATTTTGTTATTACCCCGACTCTTAAGCTTAAAACTATAACTAGGTGGTTCTTACATTCGAAAATCATTGTTTTTTATTAGGAAGGTGAGTAATCTATTTATGGACACACCATTTCACAAAGACTACATTAGAGGGAATGGCTTATTTGATGCATACTCAAAGTTTGGATGTTATTTTTTCAGTGAAACTGGCATTTGCTATAAAATATCCATCCACAGACTCACCTTTGTCTTGTTGTTATAATTGAGTCTTTTTCTTTAGTACAAGTAGGAAGAAATTTACTTCTTCTAGATAAGTCGAACTTTTACTTTCATAACTCACGGATAGTTTCACAAACCTAGGTTCACCCACATCTTTTTTGTTTAGGTACTGTTACTTTCTTGTACAAGGTTCAAACAAAACGGCATGGTAAACTTAAGTCTGCATATTCATGTTGTTCTCAGTAAATCCGATGCTTTTATTACCTGAGTACTTCGAAAACTTGTGAATGTAGATGTTGTATGGTTACTTGATATTCTCTGTTTTGATAAACTAAGCTGATATCTTTCAGCAATTCATATTGTATGAGTCAAAGTAATGAAATCTTTTTGGCATTAGTATATAATGTCGTCAACTAGATTACTCTTAATGGAAAGACTCCAGGTCAATAATTACTTATCTTCATCTAGTCAGTTAACGACTTAGGAAATGAAAGATACGGTATATGGAAGGCATGTACAACCAAAGTTAGTATATTCAGATAAGTGCTTCATTGGATTCTAACATGAGTAATGGTCTAATATCCAGTCACAATCATTCGTATACAGACGACGGTCAGACAGAACCTTCAGATATCTTTACCAAAATCTAATTTATTAAATGGGTCTACTGACACTGAAGCAATTTTTACTTTCCATATCAGGATTATCAGGAAATTTCGAAGAATCTACTCGGATTTTCAACACTAATGTGAAGTCAGTTAGTTCTTTTGTATGGTTCAGAGGCTTGACTCGTGCGTCATGAAAAGCATTTCTATAACAGCCAGCTTCAAACTTTTATCAACAGCTGTCTTCCCTGGTATCATAAATGATGATCAGATAGCTGGCCGGAAAGAATTAGCACCAAGAAAAACTCCGGTAGGTGGTGAACCAATCATACATCTATCGAACAACAAATATTTCAATGAAAATGGAGATGGATAGGAAACACGCTGAATGACATTGCAGGCCAGGCCATCGTTGGAGTAGAACCGAAACGGGAAACATCAAGTTAAATGTGAGTCCCATGGTGATGTGGAAGGGATGAGAGACTGTGGGCAATAGTGGGATCAGCTAAGGAGGACCTTATGTTCCACTCGGAACCCAAGGGAATAATAATAATATTAACCCGAAAGAATTAAATGATTATACATGTTTACATCAGTCAGGAAGCAGATTGTTCAACATTTAAATTATCGCTCATTTAGTTTGAAATGTTACTAAACAGTTACTTGAAATTCCATGCAGTCGACAATGAACCACACGCCTATTGTTTGACGGGCAATTGATACTAACTGGGTACCTAAACCCCGTAACCCACTGGTTGGGAGATGCGCATCTAGACCAATACGTTACAGCCTCCTTAGGCGCTAGTCGCCTACTCGTGTTCTTCAGTCATTTATAAGTACTATTAAAAACTTTCGTTTCTCTTAAGTTAATAGTAGTATATGTATCTATGTCTAACTATGTTTCATTCTTTTTGTCTACATCTATTTTTACAGGGGTCAAATCGCGAACCACCAGCAATCTCCTAAGTAGAGAGAGAGACGTCTGATCTTAAGACAACTGTGATTCTTCCTTTCTTTTCCCATTTTACGTTTTCACTATAAAAAAAGTAAAGACGTAAGACGATAGAGAGGAGACAGGAAGAACAAGCCAGCCCCCCCCTTTGTCCCGCAAACACAACACTTTCAATATCGAATATGTTGCCATTTTGTTGTTTGTTTTGTTCTGTTTTTTTATTAATTTGAAAAGTTTTTTTTAAAAATTTAAATAACGAAGGAGAAGATTTTGTTTTGTTTTCTTGTCTGTCTTTCCCATTTTAATTACTCTGCAAATTTATGATACACCGATATTTTTTTATACACTACTAACGTGTTTGAAAAGACACTTGATAAGGAAAACAAAAAAAGATGACACGTATAAAATATAATTAAGGAACCACTTTCTAAATGCCTTTTTTATGTATGTGCGTGTATGCGTGCGTGCGTGCGAGTGTGCGTGTTTGTGTTTACCATCGTCTGAAATCCGCAGACGTCTTTTCCAAGACACTACACAAAATTCTACCAGTTTGTTGTCATTTTTTAATTGATTGGTTATTCTCTTCTGCAGCCCATCCCTTTTTATCATTCTTTATCGTTTTGTGATAATGTAACAAAGGAGGTAGTAACCAATTTCTACTCTGTGCGTCTCTTTGTGTGCGTGTGTGTGTGTATGTCCAATAACAAATATGAACAGCTATTTCTCATAACCACTACTCATACTACTACTACTACTGCTAACACTACTGCTCTCTTTTTTGTTCGAAATGGACCTGTAGACATACACACACACACGCGTACACGCAAACTGAATATTTCTGAATATGTTCAATAACTCCAAGTATCTTTCCACTTTGCTTTATTTTGTTTTTTGTCAGTAAACAGAATTGCAGATAACCATTATTCTTATTCTAATGATGATAATGATAATAACAATAACAATAATACTATTGTTTCATCAGAGTAAATATTAAAGTTTCAATAACATTTCATGTGTTCATTATTTAGTAGTATGAGTGAGTGAGTGAGTGTAGAATGGGGAGTGGAGAGTAATATGCACTGTTGAAACGATTCCTTTCTGTCTCTCTCTCTCTCCCTACCTTGAACACATCTTTGATGTCCCGCGCTATCACACCTGGTAATATTATCCAGTTGCCGATATAGTTGCAGACGATACAGTCCTTCTAGGCGAGGACGCTGACAAAATGCGGAGTCTTCTGAACACCTTGAGTTGCAGTCTGCGAATGTTCAACATGTGATTCGCTCCCGCCAATTGTAAGATGATGTTACAGGACTGGACTACACTGACTCCTAGTTTAGAAATAGGGAGTGAAGTGGTTGAGCAGGTTGACCACTTCACTTACTTGGGAAGTACCATCAGCCCCAACGGGTTGATCTTTGACGAAATTTCAGCACGGATAAAGAGGGCTAGTTTCGCATATTCCAGTTTACGCCGTCTCTGGCGTAGACGTGATATCCGCCTATCGACCAAAGGGCGGGTGTACTGCTCAGCAGTCCGCTCCATTCTCCTTTATGGCTGTGAGACCTGACCATTGAAAGTGGAAGACATGAAAAGGCTGGCTAGCCGTCTTTGATCATAGGTGCCTGCGTTCTATCTCCAGTGTAAAGTGGTATAATAAGGTGAGCAATAGGGAAGTTAGGCGTCGAGTGCTAGGTAAGGAGGGGAAATCAATAGACGAGGCTGTGAAATTACATCGATTGAGATGGTTAGGACATGTGTTACGTATGCCTAGTCATCGCCTTCCTCGACGGGCAATGTTAGCTGACATAGGGTCAGGCTGTAAAAGAGCTAGCGGCGGTCAAACCAAAACATGGCCTCATCAGTCAATGAAATCTACAGCAGTTAGTTTAAGCCACGTAGGAAGGTGTAGACTTCCTGGTTGGGGTCCTCGGGATGGTAAGAACCAATGGTTGGAAACAATTGGTGATATGGCTCAAAATCGTTCTCAATGGCACAGATGCATCCACTCCTTGTGACTTATAATTTCCAATGAAACTATATTGTTCTTCGTTATTACTATTCCTTTGTCTCACACATCAACTTGCTGTCTCTGTTATGCTAATCTTCTTTTGCTTTGTGTGCTACATGGAGTGTGGCGACTCGAACTGCCGCGCATCGGTGCAAAGTTCTATGTCGAAAACAGACAGACAGATCCAGTTGCCTGCCTAGACTCTGAAGACTGTCTGACTTACTGATTCCAACATAGAACTCTGCACAGAAGTGTACCAGTTCGAGTTACCACTCTCCCTCCAAGTAGGACACAAAGCAAGAAAAGAAAGTAAAGAGAGATAATAAATAAAAGTTTGTGAGGGAAAAAGAACAGAACAGTGACTGGCCCTATTTAGGCAGTTAACCTGGGATTCTAGTGCGAAGCTGTGACCAGTAGGGTGCAGTAGGTTGAAGGTGAGGCAGTAACTGATCGAAGAGGACATTCAGAAGTGGTCGCGCTATGTCATGAATCGGCCATTGGATCGGGTCCCAGCGGCTTAATGGTCTACGAGCTAGTTCACCTTGTAACCAATAGGTCCTGTGTTCGAAGCCTGGCGGTGGGTGCGTAATGACGAAGAGTCCGAAACTAGGACGTAGGAAACATCTGTCTAGTACTCCAAGCTGGTGTTCTAATGGTTCTCTAACTGATGTCAGCTCATGATGAAATCCTCCAACCTTTCATTGGATATGACAAATCACAAAGAGTGAATGTATCTGCGCCAGCCATTGAGAATGAGGATTTTGAGCCATATCACCAATTATCAACAGACTTCATTGGTTCGTACCATCTCGAGGACTCCAACCAGTCAGGCAGTCTAAACCTCCTTACGTAGCTGACTTCAACTAACTGAAAGATTCCATGTTTTGGTTTGACCACTAATAGCTCTTCTCCAACCTTGTTGATCCTATATCAGCTAAAATTGACCGTCGAGGAAGGCGGCGGCTCAGGATGCGCAACATATGTCTTAGCCGTCTAAATCGGTGTAGCTTCACAACCTTATCGATTGAAATTCTCTAACAATCGACCGAAGCCTAATCTCAATATTACTCACCCTATTATACCACCTAACACGGGAGATAGGGCGCAGACATTTATGATCAAAGATAGTTAATCTTTTAATTTCTTCCGATTCCAATGGCTGTGTCTCACCTACACCTATAAAGGAGGACGGAGGAAACTGCTGAGTGGTACACACGTCCTTGGATCGATAGTCAGCCGGAGATCATACCCTAGTAACAAGTCAATCCCTGAGTTGCTGAAGTCACTTAGGTTTACCTCCGTTAGTGCATCCATTATGAAATTAAACAGAGATGAGGTGGAGTGGGTATTCCTGACGGACATCATTGGTTGTCATCGCCTCAGATAACAACTCTTCTTAGGTTCTTATCTGACTACATGAGTTCGAGTAGAGTGAGTCCCTTGACCAGTGCGATCTATTTTTCGGGATTCGCTTCACAGCCAAACAACGCCATAGTACCTCTCGGTCGACAGAATCGAATGCCGCCTTTAGGTCAAGAAATATGACAATTGTTGGACGCTGGTTATATGCCTATGTTATAGAATCTGTCGAAAGGTGAAGATATGTTCAACACACCCTCTTCCTGGTCTAAAGCCTTCCTGCTTCTCTCCTGTTTGTTCCTCCTGAGCACCGCTTAGTCTACGCATCATTATTGAGCCTAGAACTTAAGATATTGTATTGGTCAAGCTAATCCCTCGGTGATTATCACAGGAATACTTGTATATCGGGATAATCAATGACTAACACCAGTCCAACGGGACTATCTGTGACTCCCAGACGCTACTTATTACCTTGGTTAACGTAGACATCAAACTGTCTCCGCCGTCCTTAAACACCTCTGAAGTCATTCCATCAGGTCCTGCTGCTATGCCTCGTTTCACATTAGTGTTTATTTCCTGTTCAGGGAGGTGTTGGATGCTCAGTAAGTTGAGCGTGACTGTAGGTCAGTTAGACTGCTCCTCACAATGTCCATTCCAACGTTTCAGTCGTCTATTCTGAGAGCTAACTAAGGAGACTCTCTCACTTATCATTTGCCTTTTGCCACCTGTTTCGATGATAAGCATAAATAGTTGTCTGGTATTACCTATAGCTGATGCCTTTTCCACTTATTTCTCTTTTGTCGCCCACCAATGTTCATGGTCGTTGCGAGGTAGGGGAAGAAGGGACTGTAACCCAGGTCCCACAGAATAAAGGTTGAGTCCTTAAGCTTGTAAGACACATCTACACATGCATTCACTAGTTTACATAGAATTCAGTTAAATGAGAAATTATTTTTCACTTTTCCGGGCTATGAGCCACACTTATTTCATGAAAAATTCCCATTCGAACATTAATAGACAGAAGACAAGTAGTTCAGCGAAGAGTCTCTTTTCGGCGAATTCATTTTCATAGCTGTACAATCGCAAATATTGTATATGGTTGTTTTGTATGTGTGTGTACATTAAATTTGTCAAACGAAAATAATTAGTAAGTTCAGATGAATTGGATGTTGATATAAGAGAGTAGTAACAAAAGTGATGAGTTGTCACAAACGATTGTTAAGGAAGAGTTGCGTAATAACATGAATAGTTTAATGAAAGAGTTGTACTCAGGGTGTACATGGAAACAAAATATACGGAATTACACAAGGGTTTTAAGTAGAAAAATAAGCATACAAACAAAAGTTAAGTCAAATCAACACAGTTGTTACCATGGGAGTAGAAGTGGTTGAATAATTTTCTTTTGTATGCACAGTTCTGGTTCCTCTAGCTTAATGGCTAGGGCTTCTGCGATGCAAAGAAGACGGAATCGTACTGTCTTTGGAAGGTTGTTCTTCACTTTGTAGATTACTTTGAAGGAGGCGTTTGTTGAGATGGAATGACCAGTGTTGACGAGGTGTTCTATTATTGCACTCCTTATGCAGCCATTACTTCCTTTCTGTAGCCACGCTGGATAGTGTTCTTTGAACCTTTTTGACAGGATACGCGTTGAACGACCGATGTACCTGGCTCCACAGCAACAGGTGAACTGATATATACACATAGAAGTGGTCAGGTGCGGGATCTTGTCTTTTGGGCTTCTGCAGATCAGCGGGCGACTAGAGAAGACTACTCTCAATGTTGCCGCAAAGAAAGTTCTTCTTAAAGAGGTGGAGATTCTCCTTCTAAGGACGTCACTGAGTAGGTCTCCCTTGAAGTCGAGGTTCATATAAAGTGTCTTTTTTGGCACAGATGCTGTTTCTTGCTTTTGGATTTTTTGCTTGATGTTTTTGTCCACGAATCTTGATCTGTA